AGGAATATCCATCAATCAGTGCTTTTTAATTACTCAGCATACTCGAATGAGTCGGTCTGAGTTGATTCAGTTGATTTTTAGGGACTGTAGTAATCCCATTCGTGATATCATTTGCCCACGAAGCACCTTCGCGCATCCCTTTTAGCTTGTCGAACGCGACGCTGAACTTTCTCAAGAAGCTCCTGCTTTTTTGCTCTCTTTAAACAGCAATGTAAAATTTGGAAACATTGTTTTATATCAAATGAATCATAAAAATGAAATGAGTAGCCCTAAATACTCTTACCAGTAGCTCGGCATAACTGAGTCATGGCAAAAGGGTAGATACGAATGACAGATGCGATTTCGCTTATTTGGAAGATTCAGATAATGATCCTTAATGCAATGAAATGGAATTCCAAAAATTGCTTCCAATTCATGGCGATTCTTACGATATACTACTGATTTGCGGAAATTCGTGGCTGCATCAAGATTCAGCAGCTTATTCTTGATTCGACTCACCTTCTGAATGACCCAAAGCTTACGTCTGATCTTAACACGCTGCGTTCTTTTTTACACAACTTGAACATAGTATTATCAGATTGCTATGTATTAAGTCAGATATTTCCCAAAAATCTATGAAAATATTTGAGATTATATACTTGAGTCAAAAGCTTACAGAGGATTTTTTATCAACAATTTTTACAAGCTAATTTTGACTCTTTTATTTGCGGCGCAGAGTGTAAATACGTCAGCATTGTTTCTCTATACCTCTTTTCAAGTATTGATCTCCTGGTTTTGCGAACCAGTCGCTGATTAACTTGTGGCTCCCAGGAGTCAGGATCATCGCTAAACCATCTCACCAGATAACTGTAATTTCCAGAGCGTATCGTTTTGTGACTCAAGACCTTCTCCGTCTCACGAATATCACCTCGATTAATAGTGACATCTGTAGTCTCTGTTCATTTTAAGATTGTTTGGCGCCTTGCAGAGGGTGTGCTCATTTCTTGAACGAATTTGGGCTCGGTAGCCACCTATTCCAGCGATTTTATCGACTGCTTTGCTCCACCGAGCAGCTTTTTTATCAAACGCCTGCTTCATGAGACCGTATAATACGATTGATCCGACGTCAAATTCCTTCTCAATTCTTTCGGCTTCCTCCTGAATATGACTCAGAGCTGTATCCATTGCTTTGCCTTTTACCTCATTTGGGGTCATACCAATCGAATGATGAAACGTGGCATTGTAGCTTTCGATAACATCAGCGATAAGCTTTTGCTTAATTCTCTTAGGGGACGTTTTATTTAGTCTCTACTTTAAGGTCCTGTTGAATCGTTCAATTTTACCCATGGTCCCGTGATCACCGGGTTCGTTGTTGAAGAGCTTGATTTGCTTAGTTTGGAAAAATTCTTGAATCTGTGAGTTCATGAACTCGCTTTCATTATCACTTGTTCGGATATCAACTTTCTTGAGACGACCAAACGCTTTAAGCGCTGCTAACACAGTTGCTGCCGTCTTGTTTCGTAAGAGCTTTGCGTACCCCAGCCTTGAGTTGATGTTGAAAGCTGGCCGTTTCTTCAAAATCGCAAGAGCAATTTGTCACGAGTTGAATATATTTTGCTCCCGAAATCGTTACACATTGGTCTGACTACCATACCAATCCTTACTATTCTGAAAGGTATCTACGGATTTAACTCCATTGTCTTATGGTACAGAGCTTGAGCTCCAATAAAACCGAATTTGGTATGATTGCTTAAGTAGCGCGTCCATGATCAATATTTAAACTAAAAAATCTTTAGTGGCTACCTGTTTAAATATCAAGTGCTTCAGTCGTGACACCATCATCAAGTACTCGACGTTTGTCATAGTAGTTGTTGAGCGCTGTTTTGTTTTCAGTGTAGGTAATAATAGACTTGGTTTCTTTCGATAGTCTGCACCCCTTGTTTGTACCTCGAAGCGTGACGCGATTCCGTACAACAGCCTCGAGCCCATCAGAATTAAGAACACCATTGGTTTGACCACTTTTCTGCAGAATACCCTTCAGTGAAACCTCTACCCTGTAAAATTCGTCTTGTAGATCTGAAATATAGTTTTTACTCGATAGTGAGACCATAGTGTCACCTGACCATTCATCTTTGGACAAACCAGGCGTACGGCGATCAAACTTAGCTACCTCAGTGTTGTAGTCGCGTGGTAACCAATCATATTTGGCTGGTTGCTTAGACTTAATGCAGTATTGAAACGGATTATCATAGCTGAAAGCGATATTAGCGGAACTAGTGTCCATCTCCTGATACTGGAAGTCAGAGCGATCGAAGTAGAAATCTTTGTAGTCATAGCAAAACTACAGCATCCATAGCTCAGCAAGCTGATAGGTAGCAATGGATTGAGTCCTTATTATTAAGTCGACGCTTTTCATCGTGATTTCACACGCACCATTAAGCTCCTCGAGCCCATGGAACGTAGAGTGCTCGATCTTATTCTCAATGGCTTTATCGCTCGACTATATTTAACCTCGTTATGCTTGCTCATGTCCATTCCAGATTGGCCAAAAATACTGTTGCCTACCAGTTTCGTCATCTCAGCAATCATCGTCTTCGACTTACCAACATCGTTACCTCGTCGAGCATTTGATACAGCCTCCATAAAGGGGCGAAAGCCTTGTGAGCGCTGGTCTTGACAAAGCAGTAAGTTTTGGTTATCTCCATACCATGAGAAAGGTATCAGTTTAGCAAAGGAGTGTAGATGAGAATCTTTTCACCAAAGTAGCTACCAATCAACTTGCGAGCTGGTTTTGCTTACTTTGCATGCGCGCCTCATTGTGATCGAACATGTGCTTACCAATGACGCTCTCATTCGTACAGTCGATCAGTATATTTTAAGAAATTGGAGGAGTCATCTCATCAAAGTACTGTTTGAGATGTTCTGGCGTTCGACTATCACACTCAAGATAGCCAAATACCTTGTCTGCTTTGACGTCATCGATGATACCATCATACGCTTCAACCGTAGTCAATCGACCACATGGCATCTCA